AAATTATCTACAAAAAAAGATTTGAAAACAAAACATCTACTTTGATCGGGCTTAGCCCAAAGTATAAGCTCAACCGAACTGTTATCTAAGTATACAGCCTTGATAGCATTGCTAAAAAGCCCTGATTTACTTTTTTTCATTCACATTATTTACATTTATGGGTATTTCTCCGATACAGAGTGTTTTTGGCTAATCGGTCTGGCGCGATTTTTTTTTAGGATTTGATTCAAAATAATACTTCGAATAGTATTTGATTGTTCGAAACAGGAAAATATGTCGAAGGCCGTAATTTACTTGCAAAGGTTTATGATATAAAAGATGCTGATGAATTGGTAGGTCAGATGAATTATGATTATGCCAGAATAATGAGATAACGTGAACATATTAATTGCAATCTTGCAGTTAAATGAGGCATTCTTCAATTTTCAATAAATTTACTATAGAATTAAACAGTATTTCTAAAAATAATCATTTATTTTGTTTGGTTTTGGGTAATAAGTTGCATTATGAATGATAAAAAAAATGTAAAGGAACAACATATTATAAGTCTTTACTATTTCTAGTCTTTTGAGCGTTATTATTATAATGAATAACTCAACATCTTCCTTTATAATTATATTATATAGTTTGCCAGTATATACTTGAAAAAATATATAAAACAGTTAGTAAGAGTCTTAAAATCTTAAGAACCAAAAAATAAATATTTAATTAAAATAATAATTAACTGTTTACCATACATTATCAAAATCTCTCTAGAGCTTTAGATTATAATACAGGAAAAAGCGATTTCACTGAGGGTTCTGATACATTCTTTAAAATCAGTTAAAACAAAAAAAGTTAAATTAATACATCATCATACTTCTAGTTAAATTATCATTATAATCAGTCTAACATAACATAATTTTTCAATATTTAATTGAATACAAAAAGTCAGGAATTTTGATCATGAGATCTCTTGATAAGAGTAAGTCGAATTTTGTACTAAAATATATTAAAATCTACATCGCCATTACTGTCTAGTGAAATCTTATGAATCTTTTTATGCAGATTAAGTAGACTATCATTGAAATATCTTTTTTGTTTACGGATCTCTTTTTCACTATAAATTCTTTTCTGCCAGAGCAAAGACGACTATTTTCATCGTCCTCAAACAATAATTCTATTTCAATTTTCAGTGCAAGTGGCAAATTCTTTGAATTAAGTATAGGAATGGTTTTGGTACTAATAATATTCTTGTTTGGTTTAGTCAGTGTTAAGGATGAAAGCGTAGAATTTTCCTTTTTAGTCGTTTTTAATCTTTGCTATTGTTTACGATAACGTCCATTCTGTCTCTTCATATTAATTATAATTTATTCAAGATTGGATATCTCTGTATCTTTTTTGTAGCGTAAAAGCCTAATGGGACATGATACTAGATGGTGACGAGAAGAAGAACTCGTGGTCGGTGTACTTATGTCTGGTTCAGATAGATCATTCCTTTTGTGGGACATATTGCGTAAAACCCTAGACGGTACTGGTATAGGTGATATCGTGTATCTATTTATGACGGCATTTCTAGTAATGGCGACTCACGTATGCTATCTTCTTGAGCTATCAGTTCATTATTCGATAAAATACTGGGACTTAATGGAGGGATATTCTCTGCAAGCAAACCAGCAGTTCTTTTTTCTGCTTTTTTAGTTTGTAACATGACTTGAAATTTTTTCTCCATCTTTTTCGTTGTAATTTCTGTTATCTGGGATTCCTTTCACTTATAAAGTTGCTATTTATTTTCTTGTTTTCTACGTATGTAGCTAAGTTTATTATTTTCTTGCTTTAATTTTCCACAATTCTTCGTTATTTATGATTTTTTCGTATCTTCTTTTTTCTGCAAACCTCTTTCTAAGTCTTTCCTCTCTCGTTTGTTTCTTCGGGTTCGTCATTTCACGGATCTAAAAGATAAAAATTATTATTTATTTTTAAAACATACCTGGCTGGGCTGCCACACACCTACCTAAAAATCACGTCTGCAAAAGTTTGAAATAGTATTAAAGCAGCTATTAAAAATATTATGGTTAGCTTCTAGACAGTCATGAGTAATTGTAACAGTCTAAACTGAATAAATGATTTTGATTATGATTATGATCATTTATTTATCATAAACAAGTCAATCGATCAATCAAAATCACTTATATAGTTTAGGCTGTTACAAGCATTCTTGACTGCCAAGTTATATATTATTATTAATTCTGATATACATAATCTTAATTTAATAATCGCACATTTTAATACCATTATTGTGACTAGTGAATACACATCTGGTCTAATTATTAATACTTTTAGGTCAATTCCTAATTTAACTGGTCTGTTAGAAATTCATCTGGCTTTCTTAGGCCAGATGAATCCAGATGAATGAGGACCAGACAAATGAGGAATTTGTGTTTAATTTATTACTGTACTCTAATTATTAAAAATAATAATTCAGAAAATAAAATAATTGCTATAAAACATTCATATAAAAGATTATTGCTTAGTCATAAACTCTAATTAAAAATACAATGCTCACCAATCATGGCAGATTAATTATGCTGCTTACCTTACAATTGCCAGCAGAGTCGGTTTTATCCAAGTTTGTGACAAAAATGTGCGTGGACACGTTCACCACCTGCGGTGGTACGAAGCCGACCGGCACGAGAAATCACGTCTTGCTTTTAAAATTCGGAATATTTGAAAAATCAATGCATATACACAATGAACGTATTGCGCCAGACCAATTATGAATTTAGTAGTGGACAATTTTTAATGGTTTGTAATTTTAAGATTAAGACTTAATTTTTTACTACGTCTATAAAATATTAAAGACAATTTAATCAAAGACCAAAAGAATATATAAAAATCATAATCTGACTGTTCTTAATAATAAAAAATAGCTTTGATTCGGTAAAACTCGGCATTTGGACGCGCCACCCTAATTAGATTTTACTGTTTTCTGCAAACTTTATTCATACTTGTATTAATATTTTTTTGTTTTATTATAAGGCCTCAATGGACATGGCCCTTTTAAATAACACCTAAAATTTACGTTACAAATGAAAGTCATTTTGGTATGTTCTTCAGCGAAAAACATGTCAAAATGGCTTTTCAAAGAAACACCCTTATATGTATGTATGGGGATGTAGGACAGAATCCGTTTATGGAAAATATATTTTAGAGGATATTTTTAATATGGCCGAATTATCGGAAAAATACATTGGAATATAGATACATAGAACAAAGAAATCATTTATAATATTTTTAAATAGCTATAAAAGAGAAGGGAAACCCTTTCGCCTGAAATCGCCTGATACGATATTATAGATAGTAGTTGTATTCCCTTTATGGATGGAAGTTTTACAAAGAAATGCGCCTCAACTGGACAGGATCTGCTTTCTTATCTATAGAGTACTAGTGTTGCCCTCATTTATGTATATCTGTATGTTAAATAAGTATCTGTTCATATGTTTCTATGAACGTCTTTCACTATTGATCAGCGTATTGCAGCAATGTTTTTTGAAGTGAAAACTTCTTTTTCTAAATTTTTTTTAATGGGTAAAAAATGTTAAACTCGCGTCAGGACACGTGACCCGATCGAAAATTCGTAAGACGAAAACTTCTTTAGCGGCGTTGTACACTTTTTTGTAATGGGTAAAAAATGTTAAACTCGCGTCAGGACACGTGACCTGATCAAAAATTCGTAAGACGGATGGAGAGTAGACAGCCAGCGTGGCGTAGGAGAGGAAGTATTCCCCTCTCTTTCTACGGCGCGGCGAAAATGTATGCCTACGCCTGTTGTTTCGTTTAGGCGGCGCAGGGCGCTTGCGCGAATGTTCGTGTGTGTTTATGTTACAGCGTGCCACGCGTATCCATGGATGGTGACAGCTGATGGCTCGACCGTCTGTATAGTGGCCACACTGCTGTGCATTCGTAAAATTCGTGTATATAAAGTGTTACTGATAATTAAAGCAATTTGTGCAAAACTATTTACCCTAACCATTCCAAAATATCAAAAATGCACAACGTTAATATTCAAGTTTTCACTTCTGCCGGCACTCCCGGAGTGCACCCATCGTTTTTTTTAAGTTACCGGCATTTTCAAGCCGACCTATAGTATAGTATAGTAGAAAGGGTGAAGAGGCTGAGGGCTGCGTATTTATGATGAGATACATTCAGATTGACTAACGGTATATCGATATCATCATCGTCGTCAATCAACATTAAAAACAAATATAATGGAGTACCATTATATTTATTTTTAATGTTGTACAGTAAGACCCGACACGAAAACTTCGCGATAAATCGAATCTTGATTTTGATGTTTATCGCAGACCTGCGTGACGAAGCTTCGGGCGGATAGTAATAAGATGGTACCAAAATGCACTAAAATTAGCGTTCGAACTTTGAACTAAGTACGCTCCTTCAGCTGCTCCTACAGATTGGTCGATTTCCATAACCTCTCTTATGCCGTAATTACATTTGGTCGTTAGACCGTATTCGGATGCACGAAAGACATTACTCGAATTTGGGCACCCGAAGCAATATTTACACTGGAATACGGCCTGGAAGACGGTGTCGAGTAAATAAAAGGTAATCTACCCGAATAGAGGCGTACTCGACTCCGTTCATTTACACTTAGTTGTTTATCCGAATTCCATTGGCACTCGTAACGACCAAGTGTAATCGCGCCATTAGCAAGTCATACTCTAGCGTCTAAACACAATTCAAATTTCGAACGCTAATTTTAACGCATTTAGCCCCAAATGTCACCCAAAGCTTTGTCACGCAGGTGTGGAAGAAGCATAAGAGTACTCGCTCAGAATACCAGTTATTTCTGCTGTTTGTCTAAAAGTTTTGATATAAAAAACGAATAAGTTCAGTTCGCCGTGCGCACTCGCTTAGGTAGTACGTGTACAACTTATCCGCTCGTCGTTCATACATTATCAACCTTTTTGTCATTTGTTGGGCTTGGCTCTTTTGCTGTGAATATGAAGTGTGCTGTGTGTGATGCATCATTCAATGACGGAGTCCAGTGTGGGGCGTGTAAAAAGTATTTAGACTTCAATTGCGCAAATATTACCGAGACAGGGTATAGGAAACTGGGACCTGAACGCAGACTGGCATGGAAATGTCCCCAGTGTAAGCTGTCAAGATCATCTTCGCCTAGTCCGGGAGGTGATTCCGTCCTGGAGACTATACTTAGCGAGATACGTGACATGAAGCATCAACTTTCCAGTCTTCCCACACTCGTTGAAGACGTCAAATGCATCAAGAGAGAGCTGGAAGATCTTAAATCGTCTTGTGATTTTAACAGCGCTAAATTAGATGAACAAGAATTGAGGATCTCCGACTTAGAAAACAGAGTGTCCGGGATAGTCATTGTTCAATCTTCTTTTAACTCTGCTGCCAATGAAATCACTGCCCTTAAGAAGGAGTTAGCACTAAAGGAACAGTGGGCACGGCTCAATAATGTTGAGATTAAAGGCGTACCTATGAAGTCCGGAGAAAACTTATTCGAGCTGGCTGAATCATTGACCGTGGCAGTAGGCTATAGTTTTCCGAAAAACCAAATTAATTACATTGCCAGAGTACCCGTTTATAATAGTAAAGAAAAGTCGATAATTATAAACTTTAACAATCGATACGTTAAGGAAGAGTTTATTGCTGCAGCGCGTGCGAAGAAAGAGTTTGTAGCTTCGGATATTGGCTTTGTAGGTAATACTCAAAGAATCTTCGTCAATGATCATCTCACCTCGGAATATAAACATTTACTTACGAAAACCAAATCAATCGCCAAGGAAAAAAACTATAGTTACGTGTGGGTAAAATACTGTAAAATTCACGTGAGAAAGAATGACAAATCCCGTGTTTATATCATTACTAATGAAGAAGATTTAAACAAAATCGCTTAGCTTACTACCAGCTCTTTATTGTGTACCTAATTTTAAAACTAGTTTTCTTGCTTGCTTTAATGTTAATATTTAAATTGCTTTATATTTCAAAACATGTTTATGTAAGACGCATGTTAATTTTGTTTGAAAGGTTTGTAATACCTGCTGTGCTTACTACGTCATTGCCTCGCTATTGTGCGTTATCGCACTGGCTGCCGATTCACAACCGGTTGGGCCACTGTGTTTGCCTTGATACCCGCCTTGTTTTTTATCTACTGCTTATTGAGTTGCATTTCTACTTTGCTTGCGATATTGAATATTGTTTTGGTTGGTCTCAAACGCTTTCGAGTTTTTTTATCGGAGCTCGCCTGCACGCTGGAGTTATACATAATTTTATGTTCTATATTGTTCCACTATTAACGTATCATAATTATTTTTTGGTTGTTTATTGTTATTTCATATTATTAACAGTTTTATTAGAGGATTATTTTTCTAGTTTGTATAAAATGATAAAAAGCTATTATTCTTATTATATATTTATTCTGCACTCCGCGACTCGTACAGAAGTATTATGTTATTATTTTGATGTCGTTAATCTATTAGTCCACCGATTTTTTTTGAAAAAGTTTATTTTTTTATTCTATTTCAAATACGTGTCCCCTGTAGTAACTGAGTACTTTATTGGTATGTGTGAGATAAGAAATAATAGTAATTACTATTATTATTATGCGTACACACTGAATCTCATTACTTTTATAAAACTATCTTTTGATTTTTTGGTGCGCTGTGTCTTTGCTGTGTTTATTTTATTTTTTACAAATGGCTAATACACAGAATAACTCCTACAATATTTATTACCAAAATGCGCGGGGACTACGCACTAAAACGACTTTGTTCTTTCGTAATTTATGTACTTGTAACTACGATATTATTATAATTACTGAGACGTGGCTGGTAGATAGTATTAAAGATGCGGAACTTTTTGACAGTCGTTATGTTGTTTGGCGTCGCGACCGTAACTACGCCGCAACCGGTCAGGTTTATGGAGGTGGTGTGCTGGTGGCGGTGCGCCGGGATCTCGCAGTCGTGCCGCAGCCAGCATTCCACTCGAGTGCTGAAGATTTGTGGCTGACGCTTGTGCTGAAGCAGCGCGAGACTAATATTCATCTTAATGTTCATATTTGTGTCGTTTATTTATGTAGGGAAAACTTGGGATTATCTTACTCACAACAATTATTGAATTTCTTTAATAATTTGAGTGAAGTCTTTATTCGACATCCAAATGACAAATATCTGATAGTGGGAGATTTCAACCTTAGTAGAATTGCTTGGACTTTAAGTGATGTCGATTGTAACTCCTTTGACCCATCCAATTATTACTCTGATGATGAAAAATTTTTGGTGGATGAGGTAAATACCCTTGGCCTTACCCAATACAATGGAATAAAAAATACATATGGTAGAATTCTAGACTTGGTTCTATCCAATGATTATGTCCGGGTCACTGACTGCAGTGAGGATCCCCTAGTGCCGATCGATTTGCATCACGGGGCCATGACTATTGACCTACAGTTTTCTAACACTATTTGTTTGGCTGATGCCCCGTATGTTAAGTATCTCTTTAATAAGGGTAATTATGAGGCAATTAATAAGGAGATTTTAAAGGTAGACTGGCAGTCTGAACTGACGTCCAGATCTCTTGAAGGTGCTGTTGATTACTTTTATACCATATTTTTTAAGTTGAGGGATAAGTACATACCCAGTAAAAAAGTCACTGCTGGCCGTTATCCAAAGTGGTACTCTTCTGCTTTGAAAAAGGCCATTAAAGAGAAATATAAATACCTGAAAAAGTTCAACACATACGGGAACCTCGCTGACGAATTAACATTTAAATTGCTTAGAGATCGGTGTAGGGCAATGGAGAGGCAATGCTACTCTGACTACATTAAGTCTGTTGAGAGTTCTTTAAAGGATAACCCAAAATTATTTTGGTCTTTTATTAAGTCTAAATCGGATACGAATGATATTCCTAGCAGTATGAGACATGGTGATGTTATTCTCAATACAGGAAATTCGATCAGTAATGCTTTTTCTAATTATTTTCATTCAAATTTTTTGAACTGTCCCACCGTTCAATCGAACGTTTATTCTTCTGGTTCTAATATCACCGTCACGAATATAACAAATATTGAAATTGATGTTCAAAATGTGGCGAAGCTTCTTTCGACACTGGATCCATCCAAGTCATCCGGTCCAGATTTATTACCAGCTCAGTTCCTTATATCTTGCGCTAAAACTATTGCAGTTCCATTAGCTATCCTTTTTGAAAAATCATTGGTTGAAGGTATTGTACCAAGGTTGTGGAAACGTGCTTTTATCACACCTGTCCACAAGAACGGATCCAGGATTGACATAACCAATTACCGACCAATCTCCAAACTTTGTATAGTCTCAAAGGTTCTTGAGAAGATTGTGTATGAGCAGCTATACTCAGCTCTTAAGCATTCTTTCAGCCCCACTCAGCATGGTTTTTTGAGAGGACGTTCTGTAGCATCCAACTTGACTCTGCTTAATGAATCGCTCACCTCGTCTATGGATAATGGCTTCCAAGTCGATGTCGTATACACTGACTACAGCAAAGCGTTCGATCGAATTCGGCCAGACCTACTGGTGCATAAACTGGAGAAGATCGGCGTCAGTGGTGACTTGCTCAGGTGGTTAACTTCATATATTAACAATCGATCCCAGGCTGTTGTAGTGAAAAACTACATCTCCAGCTGGCTCACAGTGCTCAGCGGAGTTCCTCAAGGATCTCTGCTCGGACCTCTATTATTTGCAGTCTTTGTGAATGACATTGAGATGTGCTTCAACACATCACAACTCTTATGCTTTGCAGATGATATGAAGATAATTGCACCTATATCTTCTATTGCTGACGCTATTTCGTTGCAGGAGGACCTTAACAGACTTGAAATTTATTGTGTTGAGAACCATTTAGATCTTAATCCGTCAAAGTGTATTGTTGTCACTTATAGTCGTAAACAAAATTTGATACTTTTTGATTATAAATTAAGAGGCTCAACATTGCAACGTGATACTGTCGCAAAGGACCTTGGTGTCCTTCATGACAATAAGCTCTTATTTGACGCTCATATAGATAATATCATTAGTAAAGCTTCCAGGGCTCTTGGATTTGTGATGCGTAATTCCAGAGACTTCAAAAATGCAAAAACATTAAAGATTTTATATTGTTCATTTGTTCGAAGCCATCTGGAGTATGTGTCCCAGGTCTGGAACCCTCTGTATCTTACATATATAACGCGAATTGAAAACATCCAGAGAAAATTCATCAAATATCTCTGTTTTCGCACCAAAGAGCACTACGATTCAAACCAATATTTATATTTTTGTAAAAAACACCACTTGTTACCACTGCAAAAACGCCGCCAAATTGCAGATTTAGTATTTTTATCAAAAATAGCTTCTGGTGCTATCGACTGCCCAGCACTACTGTCTAGGATTTCCCTTAGGGCTACAAAAAAACCATTGAGATTTAATCCCGTTATATGCGTTCCACAGGCAACCTCAAACTTTAGACAGAATTCATATCTTCTGCGTGCAGGTAATAGTTTTAATGTTGTATCTGAGAAAACTGGTATTGATTTGTTTTATACTAGCGTTCCATCACTGAGGCGGGTATTGAGCAGTGCATTTTTCGACGAATAGGCAATTGTACAATGCTTATTTTTTGTTATTATTATGTTAAAAGTGTGCCTAATTATGTTTTAGTGTGTCTTTATTGGTGAAGACCTGTAATTGGCTTTCTGTTGTTATTTAAGTTTTTATTATTTTTATTAATAGCTGTTGGTCTTCCAAAAAATAAATAAATAAATAAATAAATAAATAAACATATCCTTTTCATGATAATCGTTATCTAAAGCTCTAATAATGATACGAGATAGGAAAGAAATTTATAGCTATTAAGCTTCCTCGTAATATACTGCATTCTATTATATTTGGCTAATGTCTGGATGATTGTGCATGATGGTTAACAATTTACAATATTCATCTGTCTCAGCAATGTATAGTTTTGATTATAGCAATGTAGGTTTTATTGCTACATTTTCGGAAATATTTATATTATAAATAAAGTTTAAGTAAAAAACTAAGTTAGAGAAGTCTTTAAAAGAAAGACTTAGAAGTCATATTTTGGACAATAAGTGACTCTTATTCTATTAAATGAAAAATAATTAATGAATTTATCATCTTTATTTTCGGAGTAGGTACCTAAGATTACATGATCATCAGAGAGCAAAAAGCGAAGACAACTGATTATACCTTTTCTAAAAATTAATAAATTATAATAAGCTTGAAATAGATACATTGTCATAAAAAATCTTATAATCATACAAGAAATTCGTTTTTTTTAATTTTTTTTATAGATAGGTCCGACAAATGACTCCACCCCACCCGATGTTAAGTGATGGTGAAGTCCAGACGTGAAGATTATTAATTATTGCATAGCTTTTACAATAAATAAGTATTTAATCAGACTGAAGTCACCTGGGTGATGAATATTAGGTCTTAACCAATGAAATTGCCATTTTTATGAAATAAGTTATCGCCTTTTCTTTTCTTAATTTTATTTTTATTAATCAAAATAATTACCGATGCAATCACTGCATGTTTGCCAATGTAGGTAGTAGTAGCTTATTGATAGTCTGCTGGACGGGAGGCAACAAATTCTTCAAAGGCATTTTAAACT